AGGATGCAGGGATTCGGGCGGTCACGTCTTCTCCTCGTCCCTCCCCGCAGGGCGGTAACTCGGCCCTGTCGCTGGCCCAGCGCGCTGCCCGGGGGGGCATCGCCGCGCTCATGCGAGCCCACGCCGCGCAGAGCCCGTCCCTCTCTGCGTGACCCAGCGGGGTGAAGACGCCGGGACGGGGAGCGGGGAGCAAACAGCTCCTTGCTGGAACGACCCCGCTGCCCGCCTCGCGACCGGGGCCGATATCGTGGGTTTGCATACGTACGGGGGGATGAGCCCTGCGTACGTTCCCCATGTCCAGCTCCTCGTGAAGCCTGCTCACGCCGCTCTAATCTGTGCGCGTTGCCACTGGTGACTCCAGGCTCTCCTGCACGCTCCTCCTGGTATAGATTTGGCAGGCGAGCGACCGACACGAAGGAGAAAAAGCACATTAGAAAAGCACTACTTAGTCTTTTGTAACCTTAGATGATGGTTGTCCTTTTAATCGACTACTTAAGTGTATCTCATTTAACTTGTAAGTCTGTGTCCTAATATTTATTATTAGCTCTTCTGCGCGTAGTGGCAGGCAGCGATTATTCAGTATATGTATCAACAAACACAAGCTGGACAGATTATGTAAAGTATAAAATCCTATTTATGTTTGCTTCTGTGGGTCTGATGTAAGAATTAAAAATTAATGCTCTAGGAAAATATTTGAGCATACCAGACCCAAACACACAGACATTGTTTTACCTCTGTTCGGAATTACCATATGGCTCCTCTTTTTTCTAATTAAGTCTGAGATGACGGGGAAGCGGAGCCCCTTGCTTGAGCGTACCAGACCCAAACACACAGACATTGTTTTACCTCTGTTCGGAATTACCATATGGCTCCTCTTTTTTCTAATTAAGTCTGAGCTGACGGGGAAGCGGAGCCCGTTGCCGTGCACCGTGCAGCCGTGCAGGCGATGCTCCGGCACGGCAGGGCGGACCGGGCGATCCCGAGCACGGCGCGAGAGCATCCCAACAGATTCCCGTCCCAGGATGCCTTAACGTTACCCAAGCGTTCCGCGGAGCGACGCTGCCTTTTGTGCGAGCATCTGCTCTCCGCTCTCCCTCGTGCTCGACTCCCAGACGCCCAAACCACTCCCCTGTAAAGCCACGCCAGGAGTCGGCTGGTGCCAGGCCACCGGGCACACACAGGGTCGGTCCAGCATCGCCTCAAATCATACGTAGGGCAGGTTTTATTTTCTTAAATCCCTTTGCCGCTGGCAAAGAGGGAGGGAGGGCTCAAGCCCAGCTTTTCCAAACATCTCTGTGTTGTCATTAAGTTCCTGTGTACCGAGAACAGCCCTTCCGTGAGGCTCTGCTGCATCTCTGTAGGCTTTGGTGCACCTGGATGCCGTCACCAGTTGAGCTGGTGCGTGGAAGACCGCCGTAAAAACGACTTGCCATCATGAAAAGCAAATCTCCCAAGCTAGCTAATTACTTTTCCTTTTTTGTTACTGATCAGAAGTTAATCCTGGAGTACCTTGGTTGCTCGTGAGTCACTTCGCACTGTGATGAAGTCTCTCTTGAGCTGCCTTTCCCCCTTCCCTCGTGTCCTCACACCCATAAGGCTCCCACGGCCGCGTGGGGAGGGGAGGGCAACCCCTGCCCTCCGTTTCCCGCTGAAGTCTGCCGTCTGCTCCGGTTCCTTTCCGTTCTTCATGTTTCCAGTCAGAAGCATTCATCATCTCAGATGTCTGTCTGCCTTTCTTTAACTCCAAACGCAGTTACCTCCTTCACGTATAAATAAACTCACGTTGTACCTTTACCAGCGTCCTCTCCTGTGCCTGTCCCCCGGCGCGAGGCAGCGGGGATGCTCAGACCCACGGGGTGGGGAAGGACAGCCCCGCCGTTACTGCCCGTACGTGCACGTCCTCACCTCGGTCATTTCCAAGGTGTCCCTCCAGACCGGGGACCCCCCGGGAGGTCCCAGGCCCCAGCTCACCCCACAGGCATGGCGGGGGGGGGGTTTTTTTTTGGAACCGCCCCGACTT